CTCTGTGCGGGCCAGCCACACCAGTCGAATGGAACCTGAAGGAGGGAGTGGGAATGAAAAGAGGGCACAGAGAAGTGGAGCCAAGACAACAAGGCTGATCAAGGCTCATTTATTCTAATGTCTCGGTGGTATTTATACATAACCAGCTGTAGATCAAAGAAGCACAAAGAAGTACAAAAGATAACAACATATGTATGCAACTTTTTGGGGCCTCCAATAGTACAGATAATTTTAACAGAGTGTTCTTGATTAACATCCTCCTTCAGGATGGGAGTATATGACTTTCTTATCCCAAGAACTCCACAAGCCAAGACTGTCCTTGATTTGTCCAAAGGCTGCCTACATCTCCCCCTTTTTTATTTTTATTGAGAATGGCCTCTGTCTTAGGTTGCCTTCAGTCATCTCTGCCCTTACCCGTCATTGGTAACTCTGGCAGCTTGGCCTAGAGTCCTGTCTTAGGTTGGTACAGGATGCTGAGTGTCTTACCCGTCTTTGAGGACCATTCCAGCTAGGCATTGGGAGAGAGTTAAAAATGGATATGATATTAGGCCAAATATCAATTATTTTGATTACAAAGGAAGTTTAGTATCAAGTTTTAAATGATGGATCTCAGTCCATATAGACTGTAGCAAAGTTAACATAAGTTGTAAAACACACGGAAAACATCCCATACAAAGGAGGAAAAGCAATAGTGGTCCAGCCAACATTAATAACCAATGGATCCATTGGAACCCTCCAAATGATAGGGGGTTGGTAATGAACATGTGTTGCATTTTTTCTTAGCCCAAGAACTCCACAAGCCAAGACGGGCCTTGATTTGTCCAAACGCTGCCTACAAGCCTCAGCCCTGCCTGTTATGGGAGATAAAAGACGTCTGTCTCCCTTTCTCTGTTATTCTGCCTTTCTAATAGACACATACATTTCTTCCTCCTCCTCTTTTTTTCTTTTTTTTTTTAAATGGAGGTAAAAATTGCTAGTCAAGCAGTAGTTCAACTGCCAACATCATTGTCTGGGAGTTACTGCACCCAACTTTCTCACCCAAAAGACAAAAGCAAACTAGGCAAATCACACACATGGTATCTTGTCAATTAACAAATGTGTTTATTAAAAGTCTACTTTGTGCAAGAAGCAATGCTAAGGTAGATTAATCCAACAGGAATCAAATGCAAAGACTGCACTCAAACTCGTTATATGATATATGACAGTTATATAAAAGTAGTGGAAGGATCAATGGTAAGGAAAATTAAGCTTATAGGAAGTGCATAAGCCTAAGAGATTAAGATAAATTTCATCACTAAGTTCTGGGTTGCACCATGAAGATAGATGAAATTCAGAAAGGAAGGAAAGCAACTTTGAAAAACCATAAGGTGTATACTACATAAATCCTATCCCAGAGAGTAATAAACAAGTCTGTCATGTTCACACAGAGAAAGGCAAGTGAATCACTCAAACTACCGTTTCACGGGGCATTCTTCTTGGTTTGCATCCAACTGGAAGACCGGGAGATAGCTAGTATACCAGAACGAGCATGGAAAGGCCTAAATTACAATTGTAATTTGCAAACTACCAGCTCTGTGACCTTGCTCATCTCTAAGCTTCCATAATCTAATTTGTAGGTTTGAAGAAAGGATTTAATAAATGACAGTCATTATTAAATTTTATGCACTTAGTAAGCTCATTGAGGGTCATCACTTTTGGTGCCAAAACAGTTTTCACGGGGGACAGGGCAATATTTTGGACTGGAAATTACACACACACACACATACACACACTCACACACACTATACATATATATACACCCACATCTGTGTGCATGTATATATACATATATGTAAAATGAGGAGGAAAAAATAGTAGAGGAAAAATATGGTTGGTGGAGGAAGGGATGGTTGGGGGAGAGAGACCCAACACTGACAAAAAATGGCCACTTATTTAAAAGAAGTTTGAATAAAGGCGTCAAAACTTCAACGTAATTTTCTGGTTAAGAACTTCAAGTACTATACACCAGAAAATGTAAAACTGTTAAATCAACAAATAAAAAAATCTTAAGCTCCCCCAAAATGGAAACTATGAAAATCTGTGTCCCTAAAATAAATGCAATAGTGCAAGTCTTTTCCTCCAACATGGACGACCTCATTCAAAGGGGAAAAAAAAGGACAGAATTTTACTCATATTGCCCAGTATATGTAAAACAAAACCTGTTCATCATTTGCTAGTTTACTAAATAGCAAGCAGTTGCATAATTCAGAAGCAATTTGTTACTATGTCAAGTGCATTTTTCTGTTTGTTTTTTTACTAAGATAGAATGGAGAAGTCTTCCATGCTAACAAGCAGCTTTAAGTGGTCACAATTATTTACCCCACTTCTTGCCTGAAACATCAGAAAATGATATGTACTGATTGCTCCAAGCATAACATTGGATAACCTTTGCCATAGCTGTGGTTTACTGGAACTTCCCATACAGACAGACAATACTCCAGCAGCTACAAACTTTGCTCACAGAATTGTTTAGAGATTCATGTAAAAATAAAAGATGTCATCCCAGACTTAAATTCAGGAGCCATTTGGGTGCTGACATCAGTTCAAGAAATTGTGCAAAATGAATGACAGTTCCCTGCCCCCAAAATAGAAAATGCAAACACTTAAGAGCTGCTGTTCTTTCCCCCCGAAAATTGCAGTATCCTCACTTCAGGTGTACTTGCCATTTATGGAATCTAACCACTTTTAAAATGCCACTAAAAGTACATCAAACTGACAGACTTTTCTAAGCATTCAAGTGATTTCAACGGTCACATTGAAGCTAAGAGAGACGTCAACTATAGACTTACTCAAATAATTGACTTCCTCCTCCCTCCCTCCCAAACACACAAGACTCCCTCCCACAGAGAGCAAAGTTGTTAACTGAAAAACAAGATAAATAATATGCTAGTCCATTTTACTGATTTTAAAGATACTGCAATTTTTATATACTTCAATGATTTTTCAATATTTCGCAGCTGTTTGGCTTTGCAGCACAGCAATTCATACACTATACTGTACAAAACTACCAGCCAGACTGGAATGATGTATTAATAGAAGAAACCATCATGCTTATTACATTACCAGAGAACAAAAATACAATGAAGACAATTTTCACTGTACACAGTTTAAAGAAAGGAAAAGGGGGAGGAGGAGTGTGTTGAGCAGCCAACCATCCCTGCACTGAAGAGGGGCAGGTAGAAAAAACCTTAGATGTGGAGCTACTAAATCTGGTCTAATATTTAAGACCATAACATTTGAAGTTCTGATTTTCGTTATTTACTTCGTAACTAAATGATTTCCTTCTGGAATATACTTGTAGTCTTGTTAAGATTTATGTGTACTCACTCATAATTCATTTGTCAATACCTACTAGAGTCTCTGATACTTTTTTTAGTGTAAAGCTAAAAAATCATTACATGAATGTGTTTTAAGTCAAAGATTAAAGTTTAGAATGTGTGAGTGAAGCACCTTATGCGGTGGCAACAAATGTTTTTTAAAATAACATGATAAAAGAAGTTGGTAAAAAGACTTCAAAAGGATACCTGGATTGTCCAATAGTGAAATGCCTGAGAGACAAAGGACAGATCTGATTCCGAATTCCCACAACTTCAACAGTATATCACAAATCTGTTCATCAGATCATAAAAGAGGACAGGTTTCAGGTATGCATTTACTAGTACTAAATTATTTATGAAAACTAACGGCAAAGATGCCTCATTAAAGCCTATGATCATTTCCCTAATCACATGTACTGATCTGAATGGAAGAATGGAAAACAAAGCCCTGACTTTAAGCAGATGGGGGACAATCTGTATTTTATACATGTGTACTCTAATCAGCAAACGTTAATTAACTCATACTCAAGACAAGCTTTGCTGAGAGGAACATAGGTTCAATATCCTGCTGGAGACGTGAGTGACCAAGGCTAAAAGTACTTAACCTCTAAACCCTATTTCACTATTGAAGAAATAAATAATAACATCCATTTCAAGGGGTTGCTGTGAATGATCAGAACATTGTGTATACACAGTGTATACATAAGATAAGATGCAGGCTCTAAAATTTTACTACTACTTATCTTCAGAAATGATCCCAAAGAAAGCACTGTTAACAACGAAGCCACATTTCAAGAATTGATGCTGACTACGAGAAATAACAAGACACAGAACACCATCTGAATACTGAAAGGAAATCTAGGGGACACGTCGCTTCTCCTTCCACGAACTGCAGTAATTTACTTATAGACCAAAGCTTTGTATCCTCCTCGTGGAGGCCCTAGCCAGACACTTGGCATGCGTTCCTTAGAGGCTACTGAAAGTAATCACAGCATTCTTTTTTTTTTCCCCCCACAGGCAGAGTGGACCGTGAGAGAGAGAGAGAAAAGGTCTTCCTTTCCGTTGGTTCACCCTCCAATGGCCGCCGCGGCCGGCGCACCGCGCGGATCCGAAGCCAGAAGCCAGGTGCTTCTCCTGGTCTCCCATGCGGGTGCAGGGCCCAAGCACTTGGGCCATCCTCCACTGCACTCCCTGGCCACAGCAGAGAGCTGGCCTGGAAGAGGGGCGACCGGGACAGAATCCGGCGCCCCCACCGGGACTAGAACCCAGTGTGCCGGCGCCGCAGGCGGAGGATTAGCCTAGTGAGGCCTAATCATAGCATTCAGTGTGGCACCACAACGACCGCGGCAGGAACTGGAAGAAAGTTCAGGTCACGACGGGAAATGAGAACAAGACCAGAGGCCCAGGGCTCAGGGTCGCGGGATCAGGAAGGCGCTGACAGAATTAGGAAGCAAGGACAGAGAAAGGCAGGAGAACGACAGTGCGGTCGCGCAGGCGCATCTGAGATCCCTCCCCACCTGGGCCATCCCTGGCTGCTGACCTGTTGTGCAAGGAGCCGTCGCCGTAACTTCTGCCGCTCTCGGATCTCCTGCAAGCGGCTATCCATGTTCCGTCTTTCACCACCCGAATACTCGCCACTCTTGAATGAACCCCTGTCCAATCTCGCGAATCACTGGAGCAAACTTTACAAGGAAGTACCTCCTGCGACTGCACACCAGCAAGGCTTTCCTCTGCTCGGATTTCCGGCGCGACCGGAATTGGCGCGCCCAGATCCGGAAGTCCCGCCTCCTATCGGACGCCTGCAACTTGACGCCACCTGGAAAGGACCCAATGAGAGGCGTTGCTGCGCTAGAGGGGTCTCAAGCCTTTTGGCCTCTGAGCGCCGCCCAGAAATGCTCTTTGGTGGTCCGCCATGGGATCATCCAGAATCGTTTTTCACTTCTCTCTCTTTGGTAGGTCATCAGTATGGTTTAAAATACTGTTCTGAAATATTGATTGGCTTTTCCATTAATTCCCTAGTTGACACCCGTGATGTTTTAAAGCTTGACAGATGTCCCCCCACCCTTTTTCTCCTTAAGATGTATTTAATCGTTTAAAAGGCAGAATTATAGAAACAGAAATATTTTCCACCCATCTGCTCACTCCCAAATGGCTGCAAAGCAGGAGCCCGGAACTCCATTAGGGTCTCTCACGTGGGTGACAGGGCGTCAAGCACTTCATCCATCTTCCACTGCTTTCCCAAGCCTGTTAGCAGGGAGCTGAATCAGAAGTGGAGTAGCTGGCATGCTAGTGCTCATTCGGGATGCTGGCTTCAGAAGCGATGCCTTAACTTGCTGGACCACAATGCCTGCCCCTCAGGACTCATTTTTAACTGCAAGCACAAACTCAGCTTGCCCAGAATTGAAGCCTGGCCTCTCACTACCTGAGTGACCTTGGCTAGTCAACTACCTCCTGAGCCATAGGGTTTTTTGTTTGTTGGTTGGTTGGTTTTTGGTAAAATAGGAGTAATAAGAGTACCTACTCAGAGTTGTGAAAATTGAAAGAATAAATGGCATCTGGCATGATGTGTGTTATATATACCTCATGATCTCATTTTTTTTAAGATTTTATTTGTTTATTTGAGAGATAGAGTTACAGTTTGAGGGAAAGAGAAAGAGAAGGGTCTTCCATCCACTGTTCACTCCCCAAACGACTGCAATGGCTGGAGCAGGGTCGATCTGAAACCAGGAGCCAGGAGCTTCTTCCTGGTCTCCCACACGGGTGCAGGGGCCCAAACACTTAGGCCATCTTCTACTGCTTTCCCACGTCGTAACAGGGAGCTGGCTTGGAAGAGAAGTAGCCAGGACTAGAACCAGCACCCATATGGGATGCCAGTGCTGCAGGTGGAGGATTAGCCTACTGTGCTGTAGCACTGGCCCCCTGATCTGGTTTTGAAAGAAAATTTTAAAAGAGGTGTTCTAAAAAATTTCTTGAGTAATGGTGGCAATATTTTTAAAAATTAATTTCCAGGGAGCATATGCCATAATACATTTTTGAAAATATGAGTTAATGTATGTTTCTTTACAGATTGGTGGCACTTTGGCCTCTGGCATAGCAGTTAAGACTCTACCTGGGACATCTGCATCATACATCAGTGTGCTTGATTTGGAATCCCAGCTTCCCTTCTGATTCCAGCTTTCTCCTAATGTGCACCCTGACAGGCAGCTATGATGACTCAAGTAGTGGAGTCCCTGTCAGCCAGGTAGGGGATCTGGATGGAGTTCTGAGAAGCTGACTTCAGCCCGACCCAGCCCTGTCTGTTGTGGACATCTGAAAATTTGTGGGCATCTGTGTATCTGCGTTTCAAAGAAAAATAAATACCCAAAAATCAGTTGGACGTCTTACCTGCTAATTATTTGAGTAGTAAACTGGTTTAAACTATTCAGCAATGATGGTAATGGACATTTGTTTACACAAATCTTTACTGCTATTGAACATTTTATATGACAAGCACCATGTTAGAGCTTAGATCCTAGCAGAAATCAAAGATTAAATAATTCAGTTTTTCTTTATGGAGGTATATTGTGTAAGGAAATTTTTTTTTTTCCTGGTAAGGTACTATTTCAGTTAATTGACTGTGGTCTTTCATTCCAGTACTTCACCTACAGCTGCTGCAAGATGATGGTTGGGCTGGGTGTCTGCAAGCTACATACATTTCACACCTTTCCCTGACAGATGACTTCCAGTAAGATTGTGCCTACAGGAGGAACAGGGAGGAAATCAGAAGGTGGAACAATGGAAAGTATTGTTTTTCTTTACTTTTACTTTGCTTCTGGCATCCAAGGGAATGGCTATGTCCTGTACAAAGCCCACAGTCAGTTAAAGCTGTTGCTCCTTTCCTCAAACCCCCAATGTGGCATCGTAGTAGTGGCCTTGCTTTTGAGCTGACAATACAACCTTCTCTCTTATGTATACCAGCTTTAAGACTGGTAGCCACTTGCAGTTAGGAGTTTCTATTTTAATTTCACTTTCCCCTTTTGCTCTTCTACCCCCATTATCTGTGTAACCATTTCTCTGTAGTAACTGGTGTCTGGTTAAAATACTTTGAATGATTTCTGTTTTCCCACATGGGAATCTGACTGATTAAAGATGCAGATGTGTACTACCTTACAGTATTTACAAAGCCACTGGAATCCTTCAGAAAGTTTTTGCAGTTTTTACAAAAATGGGAATATAATTCTAAAACCTATCTCTCCACCAGTGAGATTTTAAAACACCAGAGCACAGTAGAGTAGTATATGTGCCTACCACTAATATATTTTCATCATGGCAACATCAGAGCCACCAGAGAGTCTGTGTCATAGTAGGAGGAAAGAGAATAAATTGAGGAAGTTCCCACATGATTCTTCTTTGAAGAAGCAGTTTAACTTACATGCACTTATATTAGAAAGGTAAAAAGAGATCCACATTACAATGGATACATTTCTCCCTAGCTCCTTGACAATGACTCCTCTGAACGTATATGTCCAACTGCATTTTATGAGAATGACCTCCACAATCTCTGCTATGGTTGGAATGTTTTTGTCCTCTACAAAAAGTAATGTTCAAAGTTTATCCTCAATCCTTCCTGAATGAGGTTAGGTGCCCTTGTTACAGGGCTTGGTGAGGGCAAGGATTGGGGCACAGCTGGCTAAGCAACTTGTTATGATGCTGGAATCCCCTAACAGAGTGCTGACTGGAGTCCTGCCTGCTATGCTTCAGATTCAGCTCTCTGAATATTTCCCAATAAGAGCCCTCACAGCAGCCCTATGAAGCTGCCTTCCAAGACCCCCACCAAGGTGGTGCCCCGGCCTGGGGCCTCCCTGGCCGCCAAGGAGCCCAAAGCCTGACAAGGGCAAGGGCCCGCCTTGGACAGACTGCAAGCGGTGGCAGCGGCGGTGGCACAGCCCCGGCATCAGACTCCGCTGACCCCGGCCAGGGCCCGAGGTGCCGGCCCCACACTCGGCCATTGAGGAGAAGGTGATGAAAGGTATCGAGGAGAACGTGTTACAGCTCCAGGGCCAAGACCGGGCCCCGGGCCCTGAGGTCAAGCATCACAACACCAGCAGCATCTCCAGCTGGTTCGGCCTGAAGAAGAGCAAACTGCCGGCCCTGAACCGCCGCACAGAGGCCCCCAAGGGCAAGGAGGGGGCCGGCGGGTCTCCCCGTTCCGCAAGGAGGTTAAGATGGAAGTGCGGGAGCTGGAAGCCGAGAGTCTCAACATCCCCACGCTGGTAGCCAAGGCCGAAGACCTGCGGCGGGCGCTGGAGGAGGAGAAAGTCTACCTGAGTAGCAGGGCCCACCCGCGGCCCTGGGGCCCAGCCTGGGGCCCCACGCCGGGCCGCCAAAGAGCTGGCAGGACCCCAGGCCTGAGTACGATTTCCAGCCCTGGTGACCTCCAACCCCAAGAACCCCTGGCCGGCCTGCAGGCCCCGCAATGGCCTTGTGGGCCCACTCCAGGGCTGCGGGAAACCTCCCGGGAAGCCAAGCAGCGAGCCAGGGCGGCCGGGAGACCCCCTAGCAGGACAGCCTGGCCGAGGCAGTGCCCGCCTCACACTTCACAGCCTGTGGTTCCTTGACCGGAACCTTGGCCAGTGGCATCGGCACCTTCCCACCCCCAGACCATGGCAGCTGCGGGACGCCCAGCAAGAATCTTCCCAAGACCAAGCCTCCACGGCTGGAGCTGGAGCTCCCTCCCGGGGTGCCCCCAGCCCGGCCCCCGCCCTCACCAGAGTCCCGCGCCCTGCCCACACCCTGGAGCGGGAGGTGCCGGCCTAGAGGAGCTCCTGGTGAGTGGGCGGCACCCCAGCTTGCCTGCCTTCCCGGCGCTGCTCCCGGCCGCCCCGAGCCACCGTGGCCATCTGAAGGGTCCCGAGGATCCCTGTGAAGACCCAGGCCCAACACCCCCCCCCCCCCCCCCCGTGCAGCTGGCCAAGAACTGGACTTTCCCCAACACCAAGGCAGCGGGCAGCTCTGCCGACCCTTTCCTGTGCTCGCCTCGACAGCTGGAGGGGCTGCCCAGGACCCCCCTGGCCCTGCCCGTGGAACCCCCTGGTCCTGCCCGTGGACTGGAAGCGGAGCCTGGAGCCCAGCCGCCGGTCCCCCAGCCTTCGGGGCAGCCGCACCCCTAGCACGTCTGCGTGGTCAAGGAAGGCAGGGCGGCCAGTGGGGGCCTTCCGGCTTGGAGGCCTCGGAGTGTCTCAGTGACTCACTGTATGATTCACTCTCCTCCCGCGGGAGTCAGGGCTGAGAGCCGGCCCCCTGCGCTCTCCGTGCTGCCCAGAGACGCCGCAAGGCGGCAGGTGCATCAGAAGAAGCTGGCGGGGTCCCCGGCACAGCCCACCGCCCAGGCTCAGCTCAGGGAGAGACCCCCCCCCCCACCAGCCGCGGCCCCTTCTCACCCAGAGTAAGGCTCTTTCTGCAGCGTCCAGGGGCTCCCACGGCCGCCATGGTCCAGTCCCCAGCCCCCAGCCCCCACATCGGGCTGAGCCATCTTGTGGTGCTGGGCTTCCGGCCCACCAGCTGTGCCATCTCTGCCCAACCTGGCTGCTCCCTGCCCTGAAGGCCCCGTGGGGTCGTCCCAGGACCCCGCACTGGTGGGGTGTGGGGTGCGGGGGACAAGTTGCCTTCTGCCTCGCCCTGGCCCTCCCTGCTGTCTGGATGGTGCTGCCCCCACCGCCACACACACACTGCCCCGTGTCCTTGGGGTTGATTTGTCTGTCTGGTGTGTGTATATATATATGCATCTGGCTCGGTCCCCCCCCTCCCCCAGCACCGCACTGCAGTTAATTTATCTGTCGTTACAAAACGTGGCTGCTCTGCTTCCAGCCTCATTGCATTTTGTAAGCAGAACTTTTCAGGAAGGCAGATACGATAATATTAGTGTCTGAATCTGCTGGTTGTTTCTGCTTTCTCCCTATACTTTGTAAAGAACTGACACTCAGTAGATCTGGAGGACGACCCTGTTGATTTGAGTACTACTCTCTACCGAGTTTTGTTGGAAAAAATGCTTCCTATTTTTTTTATATTCAGATTTACTTTTTTGAAAGGCAGAGTTACAGAGGGAGCTGGTCCAGGCCAAAGCCAAGAGCCCAGAATTCCATGTGAGAGGCATGGGCCGTTTTCTGCTGCCTTCCAGGGTACGTTAGCAGAGAGTTGGACTGGAAGTGGAGCCGCCAGGACTGGAATTTGCACTCTGATTATCAGATGCCTGTGTGGCAGGCAGCAGTTTCACCTGAAAGTCCTTAAAACACTAATCCTGCAACCATCTCAAAAATCTGTGGGATTTGGCCGGCGCCGCTGCTCACTAGGCTAATCCTCCGCCTAGCGGCGCCGGCACACCGGGTTCTAGTCCTGGTTGGGGCGCCGGATTCTGTCCCGGTTGCCCCTCTTCCAGGCCAGCTCTCTGCTGTGGCCAGGGAGTGCAGTGGAGGATGGCCCAGGTGCTTGGGCCCTGCACCCCATGGGAGACCAGGAAAAGCACCTGGCTCCTGGCTCCTGCCATCGGATCAGCGCGGTGCGCTGGCTGCAGCATGCTGGCCTCGGCGGCCATTGGAGGGTGAACCAATGGCAAAAGGAAGACCTTTCTCTCTGTCTCTCTCTCTCACTGTCCACTCTGTCTGTTAAAAAAAAAAATCTGTGGGATTCAAGAGTTAATGTGATGAAACATTCCTTTAGAATAAAAATAATTTAGGGGCCAGTGCCGTGGCTCATTTGGCTAATCCTCCGCCCGTGGCACCGGCATCCCATATGGGTGCTGGGTTTTAGTCCCGGTTGCTCTTCTTCCAGTCCAGCTCTCTGCTGTAGCCTGGGAGGGCAGTGGAAGATGGCGCAAGTGCTTGGGTCCCTGCACCTGCATGGGAGACCAGGAAGAAGCACCTGGCTCCTGGCTTCGGATTGGCGTAGCTCCGGCTGTAGCGGCCATTTGGGGGGTGAACCAACAGAAGCAAGACCTTTCTCTCTGTCTCTCCCTCTCACTGTCTGTAACTCTACCTGTCAAATAAATAAAATTTAAAGAAAAACCAATTTATTCCTAATTTATCTGCTTTGTAAGTTGTTTCCTCCCTGTATGCTGTAGTTGTATGTGTCCCACAAAAACCATGTGTTGGCAATTGCATCCATTAACACAACAGTGTTGGGATGAGGGGCCTAATGCATGCTGATTAGGCCATGAATTCTAGAGTGGATTATCAAAGTAGTGGGGTTGTGACTGTGGAAACCTAAAGGATGTGGTGGTCTCTTTCTTTCTTGCTCTCATTCCCAATCTCTCACCTGCTCTTACCCCCCCCCCCCACTTTCTGGCATGGGAAGATGCAGAAAGAAGGCCATTTGCAAATGGCAGCCCCTTGTCTTGATCTTCTGCTGGCCAGCCTCCAGAACTTGTGCCAATAAATTATGTTCATGACAAATTACCCAGTCGCAGTAGTCTGTTAAAACAATAGGGAGTAAACATTCTGTACATATACCTCTGCATGACAGAAAAATATTGAGTTAAAAACGTGTCACAATAGTGGAGATATCGACTGGCGCCATGGCTCACTTGGCTAATCCTCCGCCTGCAGCGCTGGCACCCCAGGTTCTAGTCCCGGTTGGGGCACCAGATTCTGTCCCTGCTGCTCCTCTTCCAGTCCAGCTCTCTGCTGTGGCCCGGGAGTGCAGTGGAAGATGGCCCAAGTGCTTGGGCCCTGCACCCACATGGGAGACCAGGCAGAAGCACCTGGCTCCTGGCTTCGGATTTGTGGGGAGCAACTCGGACTAGACTAAGTTACTGGAATTAAGACTTATTCTATGCATCTGCTCTCCCACAATATGGCGCTGAGAGAAAGAGACCAAACAACTTCTACGCAGCTGCCTCTCGCCAACTTGACTGGTAAGCTGCAGGAGCTGATCCTGCTCCTGATTGGAGGAGAGCAGCGTGCTCGGCGTGTGGGTGGCAGAGTTGGGATCGGTGGAAGAGGACTATAAAGGAGGAGAGAGACAACATGCACCAGGGACATCCGGATAACATCTGAGCAGCCCCCGAGAGAGCTGGCCGGCGGTGTGCCACTCCTCCGCAGAAGTGGGGAAAGTGGCAGGGGGAGCCGCCCCTCCACGGAGGTGGAGGGGTCGGCAGCCAACCCGGGAAGGACTAGCAGCAAACCCAGGAAGGGACGAGCAGACGAAAGAACAGCGCAGGGTCCTGTGTCGTTCCTCCGCGAATGGGGGAGCGACAGGATTGGCGCAGCGCGCTGGCTGCAGCATGCAGGCCGTATTGGCCATTAGGGGGGTGAACCAACGGAAAGGAAGACCTTTCTCTCTGTCTCTCTCTCTCTCACTGTCTCTGCCTGTCAAAAAAAAAATAGTGGAGATATCTGTATGTATCTCTTGCATGTAGCAAGTCCTCTGAGAAATGAAATTGTTTATGAAACAAAAGCTTCTTGGGGTTTACTCTGTGGTGTTTCAAGAACAGGAAATTCTGTGCTGTAGTTATTCAAACTAATAAATTTTACACCTCAACATGGTTTTAAATTTTGTTTTTACACGTTAATTCTTTAAAGCTGAGTATCCAAGTTGGGCCCAAAGTGCCGACTGCGCTCCTGTAAAGTCAGGGTCTCTACCCAGTAACAGGATCAGAGACCTACCTCAAAAGCAAAGGAGCTGGGGGCAGGCATTGTTGAAAGGCTAAAGAAAGGGGAAATGCAGTAAGGAAGAGAGGTCAGCCCCAGGTCAAGCTTCGTGCCCAGGCCTGGGGTCCCGGGATCCTCCTCCTACCTGGTGGCTCTTGTGACAAAGTAGGAGGAGATCAAGTCCCAGTGATCCTCTGTCCAGACATGCGGTCGCCCGGAGCTGCCACAGGCCCATCCCAGGGTCCCCACCATGGCTCGCTGGCCAGGGTCTCCCAGGCCGGCTAGGGTCCCTCAGTCTGAGGTGCAGCTCCCTTCCGTGAGACCCTCCCTCTTCACCTTCAGCGAAGCTGCTTGGGCACTGGCTCCAAGGGCTGATGGGACAGGCGGGTGCTGCCGTCCATGCTCTCCCCGGGGGTCTTGCAGATTCCGGTGCTGTGGGTCCCAGGCGGCCACGAAGGTGACCCACAAGCTCTGCGGAAGCCAAGTGGCCACAACTAGAAGGAAGGCAGGTGGCTGCTGCGGTGCGCTGTGTGCCGGGCTGTGGGTGTGTTCGCGTATCCTCCTCCCGGGAGGGGAGAGATGACCCGGTCCCAAGCCCAGAAGGCAGCAGTTAGGGGTAGATTTCCCCAAAGGGGAGAGACCGTGCTACCCTGGGCACTTTCCCTGGGGCCTGGGAATACAAGCAGGGTCCCAATTTACTTTTCTCCAGCTTGGATTGGTTGTCAAAGTTGGTTGCAGGGCAAGGGGGCGTCCTGTCAACCTCCAGCCTGTCAGTGATTGCCCCGCCAACAGATCCTCCCTTTTCTGGGATGAACTAGACTCATTCTGTGCTTTGTGGCCCAGCCCTTGCCATGGCTGATTTGTCCTTGCTTGACATTGGACCCACACTCCACCCAATGGGATTAACTCCATCGATTCTGAATGGGGACGAGGAGACCTAGAGCAGAAGCCTGGAGGCTGGGTCTGATGACACGGCTGGGGTGCAGGTCTTTAGAGAAGCATGCGTCTTTCCCTTCCACGGGCTCCTGTTGTGTAATTTTTCATCACAACCCTCCCTTTTAGCAGTCTTTTCTTGTAAGGTCCTTAAATGTGGTTCCTGTGGCTACTGAAAGTGGTCTGTGGCCTGGCTGCGTGTCTCCATCCCCAAGCCAGCCCTAGATGGCCTCTCCAGCCAAGGACCTGGCTACTATGGTCCTGGCACTGCCTGCATTCCTCCATCGCCCTGAAGGGGCAGATGGTGAGAGGCCTGGCCAAGTGCTTGTGTGACCTCAGCCAGGGCAGTGGACTCCCTGCCTCCCTCCAAGGGCCCTTCTGCTAAGCTCAGCTTTCAGAAAGGGGCAGCAGGAATCAGAGAAGGGCAGGGGCTGGCATCCATCCTCTCTGCTTCACTGTCACCAGCCTGCTCAGGACACATGTGCATCCCTTTGTAGAGGACAAGGGAGGCTCACCGTCAGGGAAGGACTCATTGGAGGCAATCCTGGAGCCAGGACTGGACTCTGTGCATCTTCATCTCACTGCCAAAGCCATGGGTCACATGCCTGAGTCTGCTGCCATCTCCATAGGTAGGGTCCAACGACCCCTCCCTTCTCCAAATCTCAAGTGGAGTCTGGGGCTCATAGTCAGTGTGGGGACTCAGAGCTCCTGTCTCTAGGAGCCAAACACAACCATTATTCAGAAATGGCAGGGTAACCCATGCTCAAAGCAGCAGCAGCAGCCAATGGACAACAGTGCAGTCTGGAGAAGCCCCATGGCCTTCCCCTAAGCTCTAAGTGTCCTCCTGGGGTGACTATGGCTGGGCACTTGGGCTCAGGGAGCTTGGACCTGCGCGGAGTACTCCTGCCAAGGGAACAGCCCTGCAGTCTTCTGAAAATTGTCCGATTGGATTGATTTTGGTCAATGCATCGCTTTCAGCGGGGCCCTGGCTGAACCCTGGAGTTTCCTCCCCAGGCTCGGGTTCTGGTTGATAACGGTAAGGGCCGACTTTCCCAGTGCTGAGCCTTCCACACACACGTTTCACAGCCGTGGTCCTGGAGTAGATATCTGTTGCATGTAACCCAAGAATCCAAGTAGATGATTGAAATAAATATTTAAGATATTAAATTGTTGTCCGTGAGGATTTTGTATTTGTGTAAGCATACTTCATACAGACCTAGGGAGATCCTGCCATCTTTTTATTGTAAAATCCATGCTACTGGTTTGACAGCTGACTGGAAGGAGTCAGGAATTCTTTAAGATGAGCGCCGAGGGCGGGGCTAGCCGCAGCGGCGGGTAAGATGGCAGTTGGGCTGCCGGCCTCCCGCGTCTGCGCCCAGCCTCCCAGGGCCTCCCTCCAGCTGCGGGTCCCCTTCTGACTCCAGCGTCCTGCTCCTGCTCACCCTGGGAAGCAGCAGGTGACAGCCAGCAGTGACGCGGATAAAAACCCGAGTAAGGAGACGCCCATAAAAACCCGAGTAAGGAGACACCCTTGCGCCCCGTGAAGGGCCGCACCCTCTGCTGTTCCATGGGGCCCCACAGGCACTGGCCTTTCACGTTTCTCCCTTCAGGCTCTGGTAGTCACCTTAGGCGGCCTGCAGCTTTGCAGTGGAAAGAGTAGGGGTTTCTTGTGATGTCTAAGCGGTGAGTCATTCAGGTTAACTCGGCCGCTTGAAGTAGGTCTGCAATGTCCTCGCGAATGTCCATCGTTTCTTTCAGCGAACTGAAAACAGTTTGAGGTGCTGGGAATTCCAAGCACCCCTTTGACTCCTGCTCGGACCACATAGGTTGTGGTATTTAGCCCCCGTTCGCTTTCCCCGCTGCTTCCTACGTCACCACAGGTGCCCTTCAAATATACCATGCACTTCCTTATCCCTGTGCCTTTCATGATGCTGTGCAAACTCAATCTGATCCACTTCCCCCGCTAAATCTCTTTGCAAAGAAATCTCATATTCACCCCTTCAAGGCCTTCCGTGAATATCCTCACCCATGGGAAATTATCTCCATGCATCTTGTGTTCATATCTCTGAGCAAACTCATCTTTATTTCCAATTTAGTTTTCATCATATGCCTTAGTAAATACTTCTGGTAGCTGACGTTATCCATGAGTCCCTCTAGGCAAAGACCCTTTCTTGTTCATAATTGTGTCTTCCTGGGGCCGGTGCGATGGTGCAGTAGGTTAATCCTCCACCTGCTGCACCAGCATCTGATATGGGCACCGGTTCTAGTCTCGGCTGCTCCCCTTCCCGTCCAGCTCTCTGCTGTGGCCTGGTATAGCAGTGGAGGATGGTCCAGGTCCCTGGGCCCCTGCACTTGCATGGGAGACCAGGAGGAAGCTCCTGGCTCCTGGCTTCAGAGCAACACAGCTCCATTGTGGCCATTTGGAGAGTGAACCAATGGAAGGAAGATCTTTCTCTCTGCTTCTCTCTCTCTCACTGCCTGTAATTCCACCTGTCAAATAAATAAATAAAATCTTAAAAAAGATTGCTTCTTCCTGGCACATTAGACAGTTCTTTATTGATCAGTGACATTCAGGAAACATTTGTGACTGTAAACAAGAAATTTTAGTGCAGAAAATGTGAGTTGCTCCTAGAGTAAGAATTTTTGAGAATTATCAAAACATTTGTTAGCTGCACAATTGGGATCTTCTTGGGTTAGAGATATGCATATTTTTCAAAGGGCAGATTTCCTGGAATTTGCTATGACATTTTCAAAGTGGTTGCATCAGTTTCTACTGCTAGTGGCGGTGTTATGAGACTTGCAGTTGCTCCATATTGCTGCTAACACTCAGTATATTCGCACTAACATGTCTAAATGCATATAGCTTGACTTGGTGTGTGGGTGATGTTTCTAAGTGTCAACTGATTTCTGTCCTTCATTGGAGCATTTCATCCATTTTAATTTCTTTGTGAGGAAAGAGATCTTTCACTCCCTAAATGACCTCAACAGCCAGGGCTGGGCCAGGCAGAAACCAGGATCCCAGAACTCCATCTGGGTCTCCCAAAAAGGTGGAAAGGGCCCAAGGACTTGAGCCATCATCCACTGCCCTTGCCCTGCCCCCAGGATGTATTAGCAGGAAGCTGGATCAGAGGCAGAGTAGCATGGATTTCAGTAGGCACTCAGACATGGGATGTGTCTGTCTCAAGTGGTTACTTAACCTGCTGTGGCACCACCCCACTGCTCTGCTCTACTAATACTCATATTTGCACAGTATATATAAAAATATTCCAAAGATTACTCTAGTACTACCTTAGCACCATGGCACAAGTGTTGAAATGTGGAATTTTCATCACTGTTCATTTGTATTCTGACTTGTATTAAGTGTTCCCATATAACTTGAGAATCATTTCAAAGTATGGTCTTTAAGTTCTAATATGTAGACTTTGGGAGATGATTTTATTGCCTCTGCTCAGAGAATGACCTTTGCATCATATTCATTACCTTTCCATTGTTGAGCACTGCTTTAAGGACAGATACAGGTACCTCTGAAGTGAATGTGCTCTCTCTTTGTTGGCTCCTGTATGTGCCCATGAGAGCAGGCTTACTAATTGATTAAATTCATTTATTTTTTTATTTGCTTAGTCTATAAATATCCAAGAAAGGCATATTAAAATCCCTCTGTATAATTGAGAATGGATCCATTTCCTGGTTTTCTACCATTTTTCTTTTTTTAACTTTTATTTAATTAATATAAATTTCCAAAGTACAGAATATGGATTACAATGGCTTCCCCCCCATAAAGTCCCTCCCACCCGCAACCCTCCCCTTTCCCACTCCCTCTCCCCTTCCATTCACATCAAGATTCATTTTCGTTTCTCTTTATATACAGAAGATCAGTTTAGCATACATTAAGTAAAGATTTCAACAGTTTGCTCCCACACAGAAACATAAAGTGAAAAATACTGTTTGAGTACTAGTTATAGCATTAAATCTCAATGTACAGCACACTAAGGACAAAGATCCTACATGAGGAGTAAGTGCACAGTGACTCCTGTTGTTGACTTAACAAATTGACACTCTTGTTTATGGCATCAGTAATCACCCTAGGCTCTTGTCATGAGCTGTCAAGGCTATGGAAGCCCCCTGAGTTCACTGACTCTGATAATTTTTAGACAAGGCCATGGTCAAAATGGAAGTTCTTTCCTCCCTTCAGAGAAAGGTACCTCCTTCTTTGATGACCCCTTCTACCATTTTTCTTTTAAGTGTCACAGCTATATTTCAAATTGATACAGGTTCAATACTGGATATATGTACATATATGTGTATATATATTATAATTAGAAATGGGCCCAGATTTATTATTAGTTGACAGACATTTTATGTTTATGGCATACAAGATAATATTTTGGTGTGTATTTTGTGACTGCACATATTTTTTTCTTTTTTTGTAGTAAAACACTGAAACTCTACTCTTGCAGTATCAAAGCATACAATATATTGTTATTCACTATCGTTACATGCATTCCATACAATGAATGTCTTGACTTTAGTCTTCTTGTCTCATTGAAATTTTGGACACTTTGAGTGACATTTCTCTAATTCCTCTACTCCACAGCCTCAGATAGCCTCCATTTTATTTTACTCTTTTTCTATGAGTTTAATTTTTAAGGTCCCACATCTAAGTGAGATCATGGAGTATTGCTTTTTCTGCACCTGTGTTATTTCACTTAACTTCTCCAGGTTTATCCATGTTGTTGCAGATTAGAGTATTTCCTTCTTTAATAATCCTGAACAGGATTCCAGCATGTACAGTATATACACTCTTTTTTCATCCACTAAGCAATTGATAGATACTCAATTTGACTCAATCTTGCATATTGTAAATCATGCTGCAATGAACATGGCAGTGCAGACATCTTTGATCCACAGATTTCATTTCCTTTAGATAGAGTTCTGGTAGTTGTATTGCTTGATCATATGGTATTTCTATTTTGAATATTTTGAGGGGCAGCCATCCTGTCTTGTATAATGGTGGCATTAATTTACATTCTAACCTACAATGTGTTAGTGTTTCAACTCAGGGGAAGCATTTAGTGCAGGAGGTAAGATGTCACTTGGCATGCACACATCTCAGGATTAGTTGGGTTGAAATCCCAGCTGTTTTCCAATTCAAGCTTCCTGCTCCTGTGTATTCTGGGAGGATGGCTCAAGTGTTTGGGTCCTGCCATCCCTGTGTGAGACTCAGATTGAGTTCTGGGCACCTAGCTTTTCCCAGAACTTCTTAAAGAGGGCATTTGCAGATTGAACCAGGCCATGAGAATCTCTTCTGTCTCTCTGTTTTTCAAATAACTAATAAATCAATGAATACAGAAGGGTCTCATTTCTCTACATCCTCACTAACACTTGATTATCTTTCTTCTATTTGAGAATAGCTATCCTGGGGTAGATGTTTGGCTCAGCCTTGAAGATGCGTCTTGGGATGCCCACATCCAATATTGCAGTCCTAGGGTTTGAGTCCCAAGTCTGCCTTGGATCCAGCCTCCTGCTGATGTGCATCCTGGGAGACAACAGGTAATGACAAGTAGTTGTGTGCTGCCACCTACATGGAAGACCCACATTGAGTTCCAGGTTCCTGGCCATAGCCCAGCCCTACTGGTCATCAGCATTTAGAGAGTGCAACAGCAGATGGAACACCTCTCTCTCTCTCCCTCTCTCCCCCCTTCTCTCTCTCTCTCTCTCACACACACACACACACACACACACACATTTGTCTCTGTTTTTCTGTCTTTCCAATACAGTAAAACCAAACAAAAATGTAAAGATAATAGCTATTTTAGCAGTTGTGAGGTGATTTTTTTTAAAAAAATATTTATTTATTTAAAAGGCAGAGTTGCAGAGAGACGGGGGGGGGAGAGTGAGAAGGAAGGAGGGAGGGAGGAAGGAGGGAGAAGGGAGAGGGAGGTCTTCCATCCGCTGTTTCACTCCCCAGATGGCTGCAACCGGCTGGAGTGGTGCTGATCTGAAGCCAGAACCCAGGGGCTTCCTCTGGGTCTCTCTTGCAGGTGCTTTTCCAAGCTATAGCAGAGAGCAGGATCAGAAGTGGAGCAGTAGGGACTCAAACTGCAGATGGCAGATTTACCTGCCATTCCACAGTTCCAGTCTTGAGAGGTGATTTTAATTGTAGTGTTAATGTGACTTTATCTCATGATTAGAGATGTTAAGCAACCTTTCATATATACCTGATTTCCATTTGTGTATCTTTTGAGAAATATTGGTTCAAGTTATTTACCTTTTTTATCTGATTGTTTTCTCACTATTGAGTTGTTTCAGTTTCTTATATATTTTATATATTCGTTTCTTATCATTTATATGGTTTTAAAATATTTTCTCCATTCCATAGGTTGCCTCTTCTGTGAATTGTTTCCTTTCCTGTCCAGAAGCTTTTTAGTTTGACATAAACACAGTGTCTGTTTTTGCTTACCTTTGGGGTCATAGCCAAGAAATCATTGCCC